GGGGGGGGGGGGGGGGGGGAATGGCAGTTCCGAAGTTCCAGTTTTTATATTCCTATTTCTCCACATGAAATTAGCAACGTCCTATGGCACATCTGTCCAGCCGGTTGTGTTTTTCAATATTCTTTTCAAAAGATCACGAGCAATTTTATGGATCTTATGATTCTTATTCTTTTCATATTTTTTTGTGCAAATAATGTGAGTGCAGAAAAGCAGCGAAGTTCCTGCATTCAGAATTTTCCTTTTCCCCAAAAGATCGTTTGCGAGGGGTCTTACTTTTTTCAGAAAGTTTTGTGCAAATAAACCGTGCACAAAAAATATTGAAGTTCGTGCGTTCACATTTTTGCACACACGCATCATCCCTTGCTGCCACCAGGCCGATTGTCGACTCGATAGAAAAGACTCCAAAAACACCGTTGTGGGAGAGGACAAAAGAAGGATAGGTTCCTGTTCTAGCCAACGACCCCCATCTGCCACCAGGCCTAGGATGTTCCATTCAACCTCTTGGAACGGGAATGCGGTGTTCAGCAGATCAGCAGATGTTCGTGTGCTCGCTCTGCTCCGCCCCGCTGCTACTCCGTCTCCCCATGGTCACACAGTCATCAATACTCCTTTTTCCCTGTGGGTGAAGCTGTGCTGGCCCTTGCTTTTCATGTCCAACCCTTTGGATCAGAAGCGGGCAGCTGGGATCGCAGATGTTAAGTCTGCGGCGATCTGGACGACAGAGGTTTTCCTTGCTATTGGTCAGTTGCGTCAGTGTTGGGTTCAGTGGCGACATTTTTCAATCCTTGGTTGCTGTTACAGAAAAAGGTGTCAGGAAATCCGGTTACGAATTTCCTGTTCATTCTGCACATTGACTGGCTACTGCTTTACCAACCCCTCGATCAATTATGACCCCCCCAATTACGCGGGCAAAGCTGCGCGGGCTAATCTTGTGGGTGTGCACTAAGATTGTCACATCAAGAAAAACGAGTTGTGCTTTCATTGCACGAACGCGGCTCCAGCAGGGCCTGGGCTTCCGTGTCTGCTGATCATTCTCTCTGGCACCTTACTAAATGCTGTTTTTTTGGAGCCACTCACTTCATGCCTAACACCACTGCCACTGTGTTTTTGGTTTCTTTCATCGGTGGGTTCACCAATGACCTGTTTGCAGCGGGCTCGCTGTGCAATCAATGGGAAACTTCACTTTAGGCGAACCTCCCTGCAGTACACTTGAAGTGTGATGCGGTACAGTGGTTGTTTAATAGTGTCATAATATTTAGTATTCCGTGTAAAAACGGAGAGCACCTATGCTCGTCAATTCGAAAACGATTGGAGGACCTGCTTGCATTTCTTCTGTGTGATGGAGAAGGGACTACTTGCATTTCTTCTGCATGTAGCAGGCGGTCATGGTGCTGCCCGCAGTCACCAAATACAGTCATGGCCTGTTTGCAGCGGGCTCTCTGCGCAATCAATGGGAAACTTGGCTTTAGGTGAAACATCGCGGCAGTACACTTCACTTGTTGTTTAATGCAGTACACTTGTGGTTTAGTAGTGTCGTAATATTTAGTGTTCCGTGGAAAACGCAGAGCACCCATGCTCGTCAATTACGAAACCATTGGAGGACTGGCTTGCCTTTCTGCTGTGTGTATGAGGTGGTGGGGTTGTCTGCTGTCCCCAAACACACTCTTAAGTCGTGGTCTGCTGCATACATCCTACCTGAGGGATGCTGAGTGTGCATCATGTGACTGCCCTTTAACTCTTTGGTCTCATAGAGTTAAGACAAGCTGCTAATGCCATGGGGAATTCATTAGTTCCCCCTGACAATCCACCACCAACCTATACGAGAATTCTTTCACTAGTATGGCTTACTGCATTAACTCACCAGTACATGGCCCCAGGGAACTGGAGAACTTGTTTTGAGCCTCTGCTAAAATTTAGGAGGCGCCGTAGATAAAATGAATCGGTGGCGGGCGGCGTCCGAAAGGTTTAATCATGTACTGGTGCTTTAAGCATGGTAGTTAGTTCGATGAATGATGGGATCAAAGGGAACTACACATCCCACTGGCAAAGTTCAACACACTGGAATTCGCAGTCAGAACGAACGGACAAGAACTGATGATGCCTCTTATTGGGAAAGCACTCTTTTTAGCTATGGGCTGACTCAAGAGTTTGGATTTGCAATGCTTGTAATGGTTCCTTGCAGAGACGACGGGGGATCTTATACCGAATCCAAGTGGAATGCGAAAGCGGAAGTCATCTGAGAATAAAAGTTGGTGGACTGGGCTTCGAATAGCTTTAGTTGCAATTGGCCTTGGGATCATAGTTGCAGTACTGTTTGTCGTTATTGCATTCTTGGTGTTACGGAAAGTGAATCGCCCTCGCTCAGATGGTCCTACCGTCAAAAAGTCAAGTAAGTTCCACTCGACCCTCTGGCATGGCTACAACCACTGTTTCTCTATTCTTTGCCCATTGGGAGTGACACTCGTGGGGAAGCACATTGTTGTGTGTGTGTGTGTGTGTGTGTGTGTGTGTGTGTGAGAGAGAGAGAGAGAGAGAGAGAGAGAGAGAGAGAGAGAGAGAGAGAGAGAGAGAGAGGGTGTACCAACTGAGCCAGAGCCATTGATTTACCCACAAATTCGTTTTTGTGTGGAAGATTTTTTTTATTGCTTTCTCTCTAATGTCTCCCTTCTACGGCAAAACCTTTGGTGCACCCTGAATTATTTTTTGGTTCCCCTTTTTATGGATGTGAATTATATGAATTGCCAAATTGCAAATTTGGTGGGCTCGAGATTTCTGCCCTCCCTCTACCTGGTACCCCTCTTGGATCGGTTTGGCCGGACCTTCTCGCATATCTCCGCCATGCATACACGTTGCAAGTTTGGACAGGAGGGTCCGGCTACTGGTGGTTACACGACACCAGCCAACTTGGGAATCACGATTAAGCCTCTCCGGAAAAAAAAAAAAAAAAAAACAGAGGCTCGGGGCTACCAGACCAAAATGGCTGGCGGCACCAGCCAAAACTAAACCAAATGTTTTGGCAAAGTATGGTGCGCAGTGGAAATCCGCCTCGTACAGAAGAGGTACGGCCAATGTGTTTGTTTCCTCTGTGAATGATTGTCACGTACACGGATTAGACAGGTCCTGTGGGTGCTTAGCGTCGGATGGGGGTTTGATGAGCCTGGTTTTCGTGATTGTCACGTGAGGTCTCATTGTGTCCATAGAGTTGTCACAGCATGTGGCATGATAAGTTGCAGCATGTGGCAGTCTTCTCTTCCCAAACCGTTTGTCTTCCGAACGTGCGACATGTGGCATGATAAGTTGCAGCAGATTAAGCCGCCAGCACCTTGCCAAGGCGAACTTGAGAATAAAAAATGTGACATTCCGGGTTCTTCAAACGAACAGTGCTGCAGGTCGAAAATGGATTGCGGCCCAGCCGAAACAGAAACAAACAGGCCTCAGTAGTGGTTCACTTTCTTATGGTGCGCACTGGAAATTCGCCTCGGCAAATCGAGCCTCAGAGGTACGGGTGGTTTACAGTCTCAAACCACCACTTCCTTTCCCAGGCACAGGCAAAGTTTGAGAATTGAAAATGCGACAATCTGAATCCTTTGGATGAAGAATGCTACAGCACTGAAGTGGCCGGGGTGCCAGCCAAAAGAGGAAGAAGTACCGTCGTGGCAGTTTGCTTTTATTGGGCGCGCAGGAGGAATCTGTCTCGGTAAAAAGAGGCTCAGGGGTGGTAGTGGTTTAAGGTGCATCATGTGGTGCCATTGTGATGGCACGCAGCCCTGGTGACATTGATTTTGCCGCAGCAAAGCTTGGTTGGCATTGAAACCCAACAGAGGAATGGATGTATCGAGGAGCATAGTTAATGCCTTTGTATTTCAGCATGGATTTGTCTGGGGTATCGTGAAAATTTTATGGCATATTGCCATGATATTGGATAAGGTTGCCTGTGCAATCTCTGCATGAATGACATTGTATGAAACACACTGTTGTTTGGCATTGGATGGGCGGCGGATTGGGGGTATTGCGGGGGTGTATGGTTTTTTTTTTTGTAGGGTGCTGTTGGCATGTGCAACACTGTTGATCAGACAGAATTTGTCGTAATTCCGCTGGCATTCGATGCAATTTTAATCGTTTACTCTGCATATGTCGTCGTGCCATCTCGGATCCATGATGTTTGGGCAGTAAAGAGTACTAAACTTGCTTTCGTGATTTGTCAATCGTGACGGTTGTTTATGACACTGACTGATTGCAGATCGAAATTTGGGGGCCTTGGAGCGTCCAGGCCCACGCACCCCGCCAGCCATGACTGCAAAGAACTATACCATGAAAGATCTCGGACAAGCAACCAATCTCTTTGGCACGGATAGTCTCATTGGTGAAGGGCAATTTGGAATTGTTTTCCAAGGCCGATTTCCTGATGGCACGGTAAGCAAGAACTTTCGTCTTTTTCTTTTCTTTCTGTTCTGAGTGAGAACTTGCTTCTCTCTGGAAGAGAATGTGGAAAACACGAACTTCGCTTTGTAAATTCAGGCAGTGGATGGGAGCAGTTATAAAATCCCCCATAAATGTATATAACGATGCGGAGGAAAGAGCTTCCTAAAGGTGGCGTAACTCAAGAAAGAGTCGGTCTTGAATTGCAAACCTGTCTGTTTTGAAAACAGCGTACTTGGAACATTAGTGTAGTCTGCTTCACAAAGTAAAAAAGCAGCCGCAGCCGCAGCAGCAGCCGCAGCAGCAGCAGCAGCCGCAGCAGTAGTAGCATGACGGTTTGCTTTTTTTGTAATAAAAAAAAATTGTTCCGTCTGTCAAGGACATCGTGCCATCGTTGTGCTGGGGCCATGCTAATATTCTTTGTATCATTCCAGTCTTAACAGATGTCCTGAAACATGCAGCATGATGGTTTGTATTGGGCCTCACTCCACTACACAACACTAACATGCATCTGGATCATACTTGCGGCGCACCGACCCTGTGCGTTGCGCGGTGCGCGGACCCGAGGAGCGCGCGCACTTGCGCGCGCCGCGCACGCGGGGGCGCACTGCGCAGTGCGCTGCGGGAGTCCGCGCTGGCGGGGCGCAGGTGCGCTGGGTGCACACATCATTTTTTTATTTTTTATTTTACTGTTTGTTTAGGGATTTATTTTACTGGTTTTTTATTTGTGTGTGTGTGTGTGTGTGTGTGAGAGAGAGAGAGAGAGAGAGAGAGAGAGAGAGAGAGAGAGAGAGAGAGAGAGAGAGGCCTCCAACGTCGTGGCTGGCCTCCTGGTACTTCCATCGAAACGACGAGCAAAATCGAKTGAATCTACCGCTGCAACATGGAAATATACACCGCCACATTTGTGTGTGTGTGTGTGTGTGAGAGAGAGAGAGAGAGAAGAAATCGTGTGCTGACACTATCGGACCGAAGAAACCGCCCTTATCAACGGGCAACATGAATCCGGAAGCGGGGCGACATGCACGAAGGACAAAAAATATGGCGGTGTATCTTTCCATGTTCTGGCGGAAGATTCATTCATACGTTGGGTGGTGGAGAACGAAGGGCCGATGAATCAGGTAAGCACGTAACGTATCTTTGGAAACTTTCGTTTTTTTTTTTGGAGAATCTCTGAACAAATGAGACTGAATCCTCCGCTTGAGCATGGAAAGATACATTGCCATATATGGGCCTCGCTGCACTACTCTGGAAATGTGCAAAACGAGAGTGAATCTTGGGTTAGAATATGGAAAGATACACCGCCAATATTTTTGTCTTTTGTGCATGCTGAGAGTAGTGCAGCGAGGCCCTATGTCTTGTTGTGGATGTCGAGAGTTGTGCAGCGAGCCCGTTGGTGAACATTACCGTTGAGGTTCTGACAGGTTGGACACGCCGGGCTTCGCTCGTGCAAAGAAATTCTGTTAAAAGAAAAAATTCAGCTCCCCCCCCTTTTTTTTTCCGGGGCCCCGCACGGCCTCAAATTGTTGTTGTTTTTTTTGTTTGTTTCTTGACCCGACATCCCACTTGAGCCTACAACAACCCTCCCCAACTTCTTTTTTTTTTGGCCGACCCCCTATTTTCGGGGTGTGGTGCACCCCGTGGGTGTGCGTCGTGCGCGGTGCGGGATGCCGCGCACCTCGATGAGGTGCAAGTATGATCTGGATGCTATCTGGACCAGGTGCATTGGGATGAGTCCAGCACTTTGAATGCATCCGGTCTAGAAGGCGTCTACATGCATGTAGAGTGTTGTGTAGTGGAGGAAGGCCCATTGTGTCCAAGGAATGGAAGTCTGCAAATGTGCTCCTCAGAATGAAAATGTCTCCTTGGAATGAAAATGCCCCAAGAGCTCTGCTTTGTTTCCTTTGCATGCAGTCTTACATGTGATCCTCAATAATGATTGTGCACCGTAGAAGGTACACGGAGAATTGGGTGAGGGTGAATAAGATAAGAAAGGGGTAGGAGCAGCAGTAGGAATAGGCCGGGGAGGGGGATGGAGGAATAAGAGGAGGCGGGGTGGAGCCGATACGAATAGGACTGGGAGGGGGATGGAGGAATGAGGGGAGGGGTATGGAGAGTAGGGTGAGGGTGAACTAGATCAGAAAAGAGGTAGGTGTAGTCAACAGTCGGAACCCTGGACAGGCAGGAGAGCGGAAGAATAGGAGGGAAATATTTATGACAGTGGGGATGGGGTGTAAGTGTGGTGACGTCTAACAAACAGCGCAATGATGAAGGGCACCAGAGGTAGGTAACGCCAAAAAAACACAACTAAAGGAGGCAACCTATCAATTGGCACGGAGCGAAGGAAAAAAAAAAAAAAAAGAAAGCAATGAAATGTTGAAAAGAGAACACAGAGGAAAGCATAAGTTGAGCGTATCATTAATTTAGCACTTCTAGGGTTGAGACACTCAAGAGGTAAGATCACATTTTTTCAAATTTTAATACTAAAATGTGTGGCCTTCCGTGTGGCTTTCAGATCAAGGCAGTCAAGAAATTGGATGCAAGTTTGGGGCAGACAGAAATCGACTTTTACAATGTTGTTGGGGGCCTCGCGAGGCTTCGTCATCCGAATATTGTTGAACTTCAAGGCTACTGTGTGGAGGCCCGAGAGCGGGTGCTTGTCTACGAGTTTGTCGATAATGGTACTCTCCAGGACCACCTTCATGGGAGAAAGGATGAGAGAAAGCCCTCGATGATGTTGTGGGATCAGCGAATGCAAATTGCTGTAGGCGTTGCCAAAGCATTGGAGTAAGTCACCACCATGAGCCGGTGCCTTTTTTTTTTGTTGTTGTTCTGTACCGAGACGGAATAGGAAGGCTTTCCAAATAGGTTTGTTGCCGGTCAGTCGCACTCAACATAATTATATTTTATTGTATTGTAGAGAGACGGGATGTGTGTTCTAGTAGCAAAGTTCATTAACAATTGCAAGTCTCGCTGCTACCCATTCAGGTATGCATTGAATTGCATTCCCATTTTGCAGGGGGTGGTTGTTAGTGTGGTCAGATCGTTGTATTTTGTACAAGGGCTGGAGATTTTATTATTATTATTATTTTTTTTTTTTTAGGTGTCAGAAAAATCTTTATGGTTGCTTGGTGTTTACTGTTACACTCTTTTCGCATCACATTTCCTTTCCTATCATGTGGCGCTGAGTCTGTGCATTTCTCTTTCCCACAGAGAGGAAACTTCTCAGTCTGTGAAATGGCACTAATCTCCCCTAAACGTAAATGTATAAAAAAAAAAATAAGTTGGTGGAGAACCTGCTGATGCAGATCTGGATTTGAGAGGTTAAATAAAAAGGATTCCCTTCGTAGGTTCTCCAATGCAGAGTTATCCTTTTTTTCTACTGTTAAAACCCCGCCAGTACTGAACGGCCGCTTTTCTCCTGAAAAAGAATTGTCTCGGTATATACGGAGGCAAGTGTTGGATGATGGTGCTGTTGCTGGTAGATTTGATGTCAGCGCATCATTGTGTCCATTCAATTTGATCAGGACTCGAACTCATGACCTGCTTATGAAAAGGTATGTGTGTGCATCGCTCAGCCACATGGTCTGATTGTGTCCATTCGATTCGATCAGGACTTGAGCTCATGACCTGCTTATGAAACGGTATGTGTGTATATCATTCAGCCACATGGTCTGGGTGTATGCCATCCAGATGGGCTGGCTGCGGCATGCTTCACGCCAGTCGTATATGAGGTGATCGACCTACTGACCATAATCAATAATGTAACACGTCTTCTGCTGTTTTGCTAATCCAGAATTCTTCATACATCCAATCCGGCGATCGTCCACCGCAACTTCAAGACGGCAAATGTCCTGCTGACAAAGGATCTTTTTCCTAAGGTCTCCGACTGTGGCTTGCTGGCTTTGGCACCTCATGGCGCAAACCGTCAGGTTTCAGCTCAGATGCTTGGGACCTTTGGCTACAGTGCTCCGGAGTACGCGATGACTGGAAAGCACACTGTCAAGAGTGATGTTTACAGCTTTGGAGTGGTTCTGCTGGAGCTGATGACAGGACGACGACCATTGGACAGTACCAGGTAAGATTCTTTTTACGAAACAACAGGTAGGCTTAAACCGAAAGTACACTGCCCATGCAAACTTTAGAGTAAAAAACAAATGATTCATTCCGAAAAGTTAGGGGACTCGCCACATGGCAGTCCTTGGAGAGGGTCAAATTCTTTTTGGTCCCACACACAGCCGGGTGCTGGCGCCAGGCACGACGAAAAGAAGTCCCCGCCCACCCCCAGGCCTGGCCTGGGGCGAGTCCCCTGACTTCTCGAAACAAATGATTCATTCCGAAAAGTTAGGGGACTCGCCACATGGCAGTCCTTGGAGAGGGTCAAATTCTTTTTGGTCCCACACGCAGCCGGGGTTGGTGCTGGCGCCAGGCACGACAAAAAGAAGTCCCCGCCCACCCCCAGGCCTGGCCTGCGGCGAGTCCCCTGACTTCTCGGACTGACTCATTTTGGTTTGGAAAACCGAACCTAGGATGATGTACTTGTCGTTTCATGTCATGGGTACCGACGACCCCGATTTGAACAATAAGATACGGGATGCTAGGGACTAAATAGCTACGCTACCAGAGTGTCCAGGGGCCACTCACTCGGCGAGGCCAAAGAAAGAATAAATATTAAATTATTTAAATATTTATGATTTACATTTTTTTTTTTTTTTTTGATTTGGCAAAGAATTCCGATGTGAACCTTAGGCTGAAGTTGCTCGGTCTATCTTTCTGCGTAACATAGTTTTTTTCTCATATTTACAATATTTTTCTTTTTTTTCTTTTTCTTTTGGAATGGATGTGGCCTTGTACTTACTTGCCCGCTCGGCTGCCCGGTCAATCAAGGTGACCCATCCACCCTGGTTGGTAGCCCAACTAAACCGGGATATGTCGATCTGACCTTTAAATCCCACTGAACCAGAAGAGGACCAAAATTTGGTATCTCCAAAAGAATCTGTTATGGTAATTATAGTGTCTAAGTGTTACTTAAAAGTTGATATAATATAAGCAATACCGTGTTTTGTTTGCATGGCGTTTTTTATGTTATTTGACTTTGCAAGTATGATAAGATGCATAATGATGACTCAGAAAGAACGACAACTCTGGGTCTGTGCATGTTTTCTTTCATCTGTTTTGCGTTTTTGTTTGGGTTTCCCACTCAAGCTCCAGTCTCCCCTGGTTGGTAGCCCAACTAAACAGGGATATGCGGATCTGATGCAGTCCATGGGAAAATCCCTTCTTTATGCTCCCTCTCTTTTAAATCTCCTCCTCTTTTTTTCTTTTTTTTTTTGATTAAAATTTAAAAGGTGGATGGCCTTGAGATATTATCACCGAACTGGCCAGCCCCAGGGTTCAGAATACTCGTTCATCTCATTCCACTCGGATTCGAACCCAGGTCTGGATTTCAACAGTTCATGGGTGTGACCGTGTGGGTGTATTTCTCAAGTTTGGTTGCAAAACAATCATCAGACAGCAGTTGCTTGCCGTCTTCTTTTCAAAAGGGCACCAAGCTTGAGGCTGCATAATCCAAGTGATCATCTGAGGGTGATTCAGAGATACTTTGTTAATCTTTTTTTTTTTTTTTTTTTTTTTTTTTTTTTTTTTTCCCCTTTGTCTTTACAAACGGGGGCCAGTGCCCAAGGCTGATATTACCATTAAGAAGATTGAGGCCGGGGTCCTCACAGTCTACCCGGAGAAACCGAACCGAACAAGCTGAGAACCAGGGGTTAACCGTTAACCTGATTTCATTAGGATTTGAACACAAAGCTGCTTATCAGTGGTCAAAGAGTGTACCATTTGGCTACATGGGGTGGGTAACACTTTGCATTGCATGGCTGCCCACACACACTGCACAGCATATTTTATGGGTATGACAGTACTATAACTACATGCGGGCTCGAACTCGTCACTAATGGCTAATAGGTGGTGTCACTTTTTGGCAAATTTTTCACTGAAATCTGTTCTTTTTTTTCCTTTTTTTTTCTGTGTGTGTGTGTGTGTGTGTGTGTGTGTGTGTGTGTGTGATATGTATGTGCTTCACGGTATATCTGTATTCAGTTTCGACGTATCTGGACCAGTAACGAAAAAGTTGGCAAAAACGCGGAATTTGGAGAAAATTTTGGTGAACTCTGAAAGCTACTCAGAATAGGGTTTTATACTAAATTTATAGTGCTTTTGAGTTGTTGTTGTTTTCCTGATTGGTTCGTTGATGTTTGTATTACGAGCCTGCATTTTGTTTGTTTGCGAAATTTTAAACAACATTGCTTGTGGTGATGAGGCGAACCCCCCCCCCCCTGAATTCTGGGCGTTCCATTATCCATCTCTCGAACTCAAGATCTGCATAGCGGCATTAACTTGTGTACCATTCAAGCACACGGGCTGGGTCGAATGTCTCTACGGATCTGTTATGGTTTTCAAAATAACAAATTGTCAGTAAAATCTGTCTACAGCTACTGACATCAGAAAAAAAAAAAAGGGAATTATATTGACTTGTTTTATGTTCGGGGTGAAGGTTGAGCAGAATTTTGTCCAGTGGGCGGTGCCTCAGCTAGGAGAGTCTGTGGGGACTCAAACTCGTGATCTGCATACTAACATCACCATATGTACCCTTCTGGCACATGGGCCGGGGCGCAATTTCCTCTGAAACCTCTAGTTCTCCAGAGCCTAAGTCGTTGAGCTACCCTCTGGGGCTTGTCCGCCTGCAACTATGACTTTTCAAAGCGGTCTGACATGTTTGCTACCAGCCCAGGCCCGCATTGAAAAGCTCCGACCACGTAAACCAGTAAGAGTCGTACTCGGCTTTGGGTGAACTGTCTGTCTAAGGTTCTTTTATGCTTTTTGAAAGAAGAAGCTGGTATTAAAATCTATCGTTAATGGACGACAGCAGAAAAAAGATTTTTAAACCATGTTTTGATTTTTTTCCCATTTCATCGACTCTTATAATTGATGGACATTGCTTTCTGTCCAGGCCGAAGGTTGAGCAGAGTCTTGTCAGGTCGGCGGTACAGAATTGAAAAGCTCTTACCTTGTAAACCAGTAAGAATCGTACTCTGCTTCTGGTGAACTGGCTGTTTAAGGTTCTTTTACGCTTTTTTGAAGTTTTTTCGTGAAAGAAGAACACTGGTATTCAAGTCTATCTATAACGATTCGGCAGCAGAACAGTGATTTTTCCTACTTCATTGACTATTATCGTCGATGGATATTGCGTTCTCTCCAGGCCAAAGGTTGAGCAGAGTCTTGTCAGGTGGGCCGTACCTCAGCTCGGAGACGGCAAAGCCGTGCTCAAAATGGTGGACCCACTTATGGGCGGGCGCTATCCACAGGACGTTGTCAAGAAGTTTGCGCTTATCATCTCCGATTGTCTTCAGCCGGAGCAGGAGTTACGGCCGTCGATCTCAGATGTAGTACAGCACCTCCACCGGATCTCCGACGGAGCGGGCACTGGAACCAAGTTTACGAAGACTCCAGCAGCGCTGGACCAATTTCTTGGTGATGTTTCGGACGACTCCTACGTCTAGATCCTTCAGTCATCATCGTCATTGTCTTCATTAGGTAAGGCACGGATATCAAGCTTTTTGGTATATCGAAGCAATCTCTCGAGAGTCGAGACTTTTTATCGAACAGCAACTACAAAGAGATTGAGCGTGAGAATTGTAATTGCTAGAGGTGCTGTTGCCTCCCAGTTGTCGGTAAATTATGCTGATAAGTTGTGTTAATTTTATATAGTATGTAGTCCTTCGGGACATCCGTTAAAATTGGAACGATACAGAGAAGATTAGCATGGCCCCTGCGCAAGGATGACACTCATAAATCGAGAAATGGTCCAAATTAAAAAAAAAAAAAAAAAAAAAAAAACTTTATGTAGTGTTATGAAAACAATCTCTCAGGACCTGTACATAATTGGAATAACGGCCAGATTCAGCAGGAAAAGTTAAAGAAGTCAAATTGCTTGTACTTCTCTTGTGGCCCAGTGGCTGATCCAGTAAGCCCCTGCTGCTCGTCGTAAATTACATTCATAGCTTTGTATTACGACAATTGCAGGGTGTCCACTTATGCCGACCATGTTATGTGTCCAAGTCCCAAATGTCGTAATTTTCTGTGAAGAAAACACGAACGTGGTCGTATTATGTGTCCAGGTCGCTGATGCCGTATTTTTTGTGAAGGTAGTAGGGATGTGGTGATACTATATGTCGAGGTTTCACCCAGGTGGTGCTTTTTATAGCCCAAGCATAGCGCACCGGTGAGGCCTGGTAGTTATGTTCCAGTGTTATGGCTGCTCAGCATCACGGTCGAGGTTTCACCCAGGTGGTGCTGTTTATGCCCAAGAACAGTCCACCAGCGAGGCCTGGTAGTTATATTCCAGTGTTGTGGCTGTACCGCGTCATCATCTTTCTGATTCCATTTTTGCGCTCAGCTTTTCAAAGAAAGCCCTAGGGTCCCTTTTTTTGAGTCTTTACCAAATAAATGGCGTAGGACCTTCCCATCAACATTATGAATATTATTATATGATTATATTGTATTCTTCTCATTCCAACTCTCGATTGGTTTGCGAAGAGTTACACGTGTGTAGTACGTGTTTCATTTTTCACCTGCGAGGACCAGGTTCAGGAGGACTACTGTCGTCCCCCGAACCCTGATAATGACTGTATGCAAGCTATCTTTCTGGTATGGTACAGCCAAAATCAGGATCCTTTGCATTAGGCTGAAGACAGTTATCGATGTGCCCTTTGTTGCTTAGATTCGATTGCATCCCAACAAAGTTAGAAAGCAGAAAGAGTCGACTTGCGATAAAATTGGGATAACAGGGCACGGATGATACCGCCTGGAGAAAGACTGTCCCCGGGGTTGGCACAAGCCATCTGATCCCCTCACTGGTCAAGTACAGAGACAGGCACCTCCCGAGGCCTACCTTCTTCCCCCGAATATATCTCATAAGCATTGTAAACAAATACAAAAATACAACACATAAGGTGCGTACCATTTGAATACAACACCATATACGTTCTATTCAAATAGCCCTAAATTTCAAATACAACGCATATGCATTCTATTCGATTTTTTTTCATATTTTGATACTCGAATAGAACACATATGCGTTCTGTTCGGGGGAAGATGGCAGCATCCACCCTCTACTACATACAACATGGACCTTTTCCCCCCCAAAAAAAATAATCTACACCTACTATAAGAACTGCTAAACGTCATATCTCACGGCCTGAATCACAGGCCGGTAACGCGCCGCGGACGGCCCAGATCGCAGGCCGATCAGAAAACTTTCTGATCGGCCTGCGATCTGGGCCGTCCGCGGCGCGTTACCGGCCTGCAATTCGGGCCGTGAGTCGGGCCGTGGCCTGAATCGCAGGCCGGTAACGCGCCGCGGACGGCCCAGATCGCAGGCCGATCAGAAAACTTTCTGATCTGC